CTGGAAAAAGAAAACATTTATTGGAAGCAGCGTGCAAAGGAATTTTGGTTAAGGCAAGGGGACATTAATTCTAGATTTTTTCATAATGCTGTTAAAGCAAGGAGAAGGAAGAATAAAATTACGAGGTTGAGAAGGGAGGACGGGGCCTGGATTACTGACCGAAAAATGTTGGAGGATTTGATCCATAAATATTTTTAAGAAATTTTTACTGAACAAAGCAGCTCCATAGCGGCTGATTTTGTTTGGGGAATGATCCATAGCTCGATGATTGGGCCGATGTTGCCTTTGTCAATAGCTCGATGATTCATAGGGCCGAGGCTCGTGGAGATATACATGGTGTGGCGGTGTGGCGGGGAGCTCCTAAGGTTTCACACTTATTTTTTTCAGATGATAGTTCCTTATTTTTTTAATGCAAATTCTGGGGAAAGTTGCACGATCAAGAATATTCTGAGTAATTATGAGGTTTTATCGGGGCAAAAGGTGAATTTTGCAAAGTCATCAATTAATTTTAGCCCAAACACGACTGATCAGACCATGCAACAATGTCGGCAGATGCTGGGGATTACCTCGGATGGAGCACAGGGTAACTATCTTGGGTTACCTGCACTGGTTGGAAGAAATAAGACAACTATTTTGGGATATATAAGGGACTGAATTCTCAATAGAATCAATAGTTGAAATAGGCGGTTTTTGTCTAGAGCTGGGAGGGCAGTTCTATTAAAAAATGTAATTCAAGCCATGCCTAATTATGCTATGAATGTTTTTTTACTGCCTAGGGATTTATGCAATGAGATTGAGAAGCTTATGAATGGCTTATGGTGGCGGGGTTCTAAATTAGATCAGAAAGGTTCAAGATGGAGAAGCTGAAAAAACCTATGCAGACCAAAGGAAGCGGGCGGCTTAGGCTTCAGGAGGGTCATGGAATTTAATCTGGCCATGTTGGCACAGCAGGGTTGGCGGTTAATCACTGATGACAACAGTTTGATGGGCAAGGTTATGAAAGCAAGATATTATCCTCAGTCTAATTTTCTGAATGCAAAATTGGGGAATGATCCCTCTTTTGTTTGGAGAAGCATTTTCGAGACTCAGGACATTTTGAGGAGGAATATTAGACGCGGGGTGGGGAATGAGGTGGATGTTCAGGTGTGGGCTGATGCATGGTTACCAGGAGAGGATGAAGTCAGAATTAGTTTGGCCAAACCGTAAGGAGTGCGTGACATGAATGTGGCAGCATTGAGAAATATTACAGGGAGAGAATGGAATAGAGAAAGAATATGTTCTCTATTTATTGAAATTGATCGAGAGAGAATTTTGAGCATTCCTATCAGTACCAGGGACAGGGCCGACCGCTACTGGTGGAAAGGGGAGAACAATGGCATGTTTTCAGTCAGGAGTTGTTATAGACTTCAAATGGGGGATTTTCAGAATAATGCGGCTGATGCTTGGAGACATTTGTGGGATTCTAAGGTACCTCCTAAATTTAAATATTTTGTTTGGCAGGTTTTGGATGGATCGCTTCCAACGGTGGAATGGTGGATAATTTACGCCATAGAGGTTTGTTGATTCAAAACGGCTGTAAACTTTGTGACAACCAGGCCGAATTGCTCGATCATGCTATTCGGGGCTGTTCATGGTCTAAAGAGGTTTGGAGGGCTGCGGCTATCGCAACGGAGGATGATAAGACGATTGAGGAATGGGTTAAAGCATGTATCGCGGCTGGGGATAAATCGAGAAGGGATAGATTTATAGCCTTGTTATGGGGCATTTGGAAAAGGAGGAATAATGCAGTTTGGAAGGATAAAAAACATGATGCTTCAAACGTCATTAATGGGGTAACATACATATTAGCTACCTGGAAAGAGGCTCAAACCGTGCAGGGGGGCGTGGAGCAGACAGTGCCGAGAGAAGCAGATAGATGGAAGAGGCCGGCGAGTGGTGCTATTAAAATAAATGTTGATGGTGCCATTGATGAGGCCGGAAAAATTCGTTCTTGGGGCTGGGTGGCTCGAGATGAGGAGGGGAATTTTTTGAAAGCTAATGGCGGTTCGTCAAGGGCAAATTGGATGGCAGCAGAAACAAAAGTTGTTGGTCTGAAGGAGGCTGTTATGGGTGCCATCGAGGCAGAATGTAATAAGGTGAAATTTGAGACTGATGCTTTGATGGTGGTTAACGGAGTTCGAGGGGGAAGGGGGGGTCTTATCTTCATCTTATTATTGAGGATTTTAAAAATATGTTAGATACTAAGAGTGATTTTTCTGTCTCTTATTGTAAACGGTCTGAGAATCATGTTGCTCACGCTTTGGTTAGAGCGTATGTTCATGTCTCAGATAAGGTCAATACGTAAATGAGTGTTCCGGCATGTATTTATAGCCAGTTGGCTAACGTCCTTTTAAGTTAATAAAGTATTTGGAGTTGATGATAGAAAAAAGCTAGCATAGTGTAATTACTTTTCACTAGTCAATCCACCCGTGCGTTGCACGGAGAACAAATGAAATCAATTTATTTTTACAGATAATTTATTTCATGAGTAATGTGTTTATACATATTTATTGTAGAAAAATAAAAACATGATATATAATTATATTAGAATACATGTATGATAATTGTTAGTCTATTAGAGATACACCAATTAGTATAAAACAACCAAATAAGTATTCATTCATCCCTAACATATCTTGTCTAATGAAGATGATAACAATTGTTATCATATTACAATCTCATACGTAGTATTATTTAGTTATAATTATGATGATTATTCAACATATGACATTACTTTTTTACTATCTTGCTGTGTTTTAGAATTTCTAAATATATTCCATCTAAAAAGTGAAAATATTTATTTTATAATCCATAATATCTCTTCATTCATCTCAATATATGTTTTATAAACGCTACAGATCAAGATTGTTAAAATCACTATATGTTTTATAAGAATTGCATATCAATGTTGTTAAAATCGCGAGTTGAATCGTAAAATTGTATAATTCAATACCATTGAACCAATTTGACTGGAAAACAAAATTGGAAATGCTAAAAATCTTTTCAAAATTGGGAAACATTATTTAAAATTATGATTTCAACGGATTTTTAAAATAGTTACTTATTTACTAATGAATAGTTATAGTAGAATTAAATGAATGAATTTTTGTATTTTATGTTGCAGCTAATTATAAAAAACAATGATTCCCTTATCTCATTAAATTGCGCTAACTTTATTTTCGCAACTGCCTCAACCAAAATGGTCATTTCTATTTAAACTAATCAATGTGTAGGTAAATTATTTTTCTCAACTGATTTGTTAAAATCTCAATCACATACAAAGTAATTTTTACTTTATTTATATTCCACGTGCAAGTCAATTCTGGACACATTTAATGGGGTACTGAGTATTATCATTATCCTTTACATAATATTTGTATCCAAATATATTGTAATACTCTATTTTATATTCTGAAATTAGAACATTTCATTTTTAACTGTATTATATTATGTCTCTTAATTAATTATGTATATGTATCTTTTAATATTTTTCTAATTTTTTTTAATATTTAATGTTTTTATGCTCAATTTAATTTTCTATGGTTTTATTTATAACTTACAACAATTAATTAGATTCACACGTAATATGGCTTCACTAAGTAATGTTTCATTAATAGTGACAATAATTTTCTAAAATTTTATTTATAAGTTACAACAATTAATTAGGTTGGCACTAAATATGACTTCATTAAGTAATGTTTAATTAATAGTGACAACAATTTTTCACTTCTTTTGGCTCCAAATAGTTTGGATCTCCACCATGTTCTATTTATATATATAAAGATCTCAAGGCATTCTAATTTTCTGGATCCACCCGGATGAGATCAAATTAAATGGATATGGAATTAGTTTAGAGATACTTCGTATAAACGTAATTAGCAATAACAGTGACGACGAACTTACAGAGTTACCGTACATGGTGGCACTAATTAATCATGTCATTTTGGAATGGCATTAACAACAGATTGCATATTAGACGGTCATGGTGCAGGTGTATACTAATTTTGTCGTTACGCCCATAGAATCGGCTCCGACAACAATCTTAATCTAGTTAAAATAACATTTTAGCATTTGACGACAAATGATTATTCTTATTACATTACATTGCACTAATCGAAGTTATTACTGGAAAATACCACAGTTAGGTTTAAGTAACGTCAGTGAAACGACCATTGCACCAATTGATCGACTCTTCTTCCAAACACAAATTAAAGATTTTGGTCGGTCGAAACATTAAATTGGTTTCGAAGATATTGCACTTAATTGCTCTCACTAAAGCACTAAACCACTTAAATATTTAGTGGTGTGAGTTAATTGGGCTTTATGCTTGAATTAAGGAATAAGAAGATGTGGATTTGGGCAGGGACGGATCGAGCTGTTCAAGGAACGAATATATATAGTGTGTGGCCGAGGAATGAACATATATGTTTGTGGTCATGAAATAATACTCCATTTTCCCATATATATATTTTTTTATTGGAAGGTGCTTATATCATTAAAAAAACATCCAGCAGGGGTAAAAGAATGTAAAAGGACCACATGTAATCATTCTTCCTTGACCGAGACTTTGAGTTAATCACCTTTGAGAAAACAATATAACTCGTTAGACCTAACTTGGGCAAATTAAAGCTACCGACGATTACCGTAGACCTTTCAACCTCCAAACCTAATGCAAGAGTTTTACAGCAGATGAAAAAATAAAAACAGAATATGAAAGTATAATTGTGGAAAAAACAACAAAAGCAGATAGTAACATAAAAACCAGCTTGTGATAGTGATCAGAATCACCAAAAGAACCATCGGCGGGTCTAGGAGGCCTAACCCGCCGTCTCCCCATTTTTTGGACCATCAAGCGCCATGTCCTCTCCAGCAGTAACTTCCTTTGGCTTTCCTTCCCAAATCCTCCCCCGCTTTGTCTCGTCTGACACCTCTTCCATATCGTTTGCCCCCTGCTTTGACACGCTCGCACCAGTCTCTGCCGACTGCCGACATGTAATCATTCGTCCTTGACCGAGACTTTGAGTTAATCACCTTTGAGAAAACAATATAACTCGTTAGACCTAACTTGGGCGAATGAAAGCTACCGACGATTACCGTAGACCTTTCAACCTCCAAACCTAATGCAAGAGTTTTACAGCAGATGAAAAAATAAAAACAGAATATGAAAGTATAACTGTGGAAAAAACAACAAAAGCAGATAGTAACATAAAAACCAGCTTGTGATACTGATCAGAATCACCAAAAGAACCACCGGCGGGTCTAGGAGGCCTAACCCGCCGTCTCCCCATTTTTGGACCATCAAGCGCCATGTCCTCTCCAGCGGTAACTTCCTTTGGCTTTCCTTCCCAAATCCTCCCCTGCTTTGTCTCGTCTGACACCTCTTCCATATCGTCTGCCCCCTGCTTTGACACGCTCGCACCAGTCTCTGCCGACTGCTCATCCCCGAGATCAGTGTTCCGCCGTTGCCCAGATCCCCCGGAGCTTGAAGAACCATTGACTACCCACTTATTAGATCCCGTAGGGCTGGCCTTTACCCCTCCACCAGCCCTGAGCTCTACCCCAAAAGATTTCTCAAGAACAATCCCCTCCTCATATCGCAAAAGATAAAACTTATCCGAATGCCCAATCACCCCAAACACGAAACAGAAATTGGGTAGCTTTTCATATTTGAAATCTACCCAATATCCCTTTCCATCCTTCTTCAGAGTAGTACCCTGTAATTCTCAGATATGATTTCCATTTGACCCCATATTGGTTATCATCGAACTTGATAAAGGAGCCAATAAAATTCCCAATTCGCTTTGTAGAACTCAGATTTCTAAATTTATGAGGAGCATTATGAACTTGTACCCAAAATTCTGCCTCAAATAGATTCAGCTTTTCGGGAATATCACCTGGCTGAACCGCTTTCAACAGAATTAAGTCTATTTCAAACAGCCAAGGTCCATATTCCAACACACGATTCATATCCAAAACATGATTAAAAGTAAATAGATATCTTTTATCTCCAATTTCCTTGACTGCAACTCCCTTGCCTGGACGCCAAATTGAAACCAACATCTCTTGGAACGCCAGAAAATTAATTTTCCGGCATATACTTATAAAAGGCAAAAATCCACTCGTGGCCATTAAAAAATATTCCATATCATTTTTATTTGTAAAATCATATGTGCAATAGAGAATAAGTGCATTTTATGTGAGCAACAGTGTATTGTAATGTCTAAACGATTAAAAGTGGATGCTGAGAATCATCTCAATGTAATGATGTACCTCAAATGATCAAAATGTGAAATAATAATTGTGATGGCTTACCCAATAGGTAGTCCTAGTATGGTATTTATAATAATGAATATTAAGAGTAATTACATAAGAGTTCTTATAATTACACTATTACACCCCCTCAATCTACGCATGGGAAATCACGTGCAAATTGGAACGTAAAAACTCAAAACGCCGACTAGATAAATTCTTAGTAAAAATGTCAGCTAACTGATACTGAGTGGGAGTGTACTTAACAACAAGATCTCCATGTGTTACTCCTTCGCGAACAAAATGATAGTCAATCTTTATATGCTTGCTGCGATCGTGCTGATGGGATTAACAGCAAGATTTGAGGTTGAGACGTTGTCAAAAAACAGCTGAACTGGGGCGGATATCCGAATGCCCATGTAGAGAAGCAAGGAACGAATAAATAACGTGTCCAGGACTTTGTAAGCTACAGCTCTGTATTCTGTCTCAGTGGAAGACTTGGAGACTGTAGGTTGCTTTTTGGAGCGCCAAGGAATAAGATTTCCGCCGAGGAAGATATTGTAGTCCGTGGTGGATCTGCAGGAGTCCGTGCATCCGGCCCAGTCAACATCCGAATAAGAAACAATCAGTGAAATACTCTGTCCAGCCCGAAGCCAAAGTCCGTGAGATGAGGTGCCCTGTAAGTACCTATAAATTCTTTTCATAGCAGCAAGATGAGTTGTACGGGGAACATAAGTAATATCAGTTCTAGTAATAGTCAAGTATTGAAATGCACCTACTATACTATGATACTCAGACCATCGCTAAGAAGATCCCCATCTGTGAGAGACAATGTGGTGCGAGACGGGAGGGGAGTCCGAACAGGTTTTACAGTATGAAGATGAAAGCAGTGAAGCAGATCAGTGACATATTTATGCTGAGAAAGAAACATACCTTTCGGAGTGCGACGAGCTTGAATACCAAGGAAAAAATGAAGGGATTATGTCCTGAATATTACTAGTTTTGAACAATTACTAAAACAGTGACCACTATTAAAACAGGGCAAAAAAGTGATCAAGAAGGTCATATTTAATGTCATTCCCAGATTTTAATGTCACTGTCCTGTTTTAATGTCACTATCAAATGTCACTGCCGCCACCGCCCGTGTCACAGCCACTACCGCCGGTGTAACTGCCGCCACCGCCGGTGTCACTGCCACCACCGCCAGTGTCACTGCGGCTACCGCCCGTGTCGCTGCCTCTGCCACCACCAGTCACTGCTGCCAACCACAGTGACACCGCCATAGTGACACATTCAAAGTGACACCTCCACAGCTACCAATTTAGAAAACCACCTCCGCCGCTGCAGACCACCACGGAGGTTGCCACTGCCCGCCACCTGCGCAGGCAAGCAGTGCCACCCTTCTCATTTGACTCCACATCCAACTTCAACACAGTCCACCACCGCCCACAGCCTACCACTATCTCGTCCACCACCGCCCCTGCCCCACCGCCAGCCCCGCCGTTGACCATCATCGTAGGTCTCCGCCGCCACCGCTGGCCGCCGGCTTGACTCCCCAACCTCCAGTCACCTCCCTAACCCCAACCACCCCCGATCCCCATCCCCTAAGCCCCCATCCTAATCCCCGGCTCCCCCATCTCATCTCCCCAGCCCCACAACACCCTCCCCCAACCCGACCAGCAATGGCGCACTCCATCTCATCTTCCAGCCTCGCCCCAGTCAAACTCGATCTGAAACTCAGATCTGAAAATAAGAACGAAAATCCCCAAATTCGATTTGAAATCCCAACATAAAGCAGAAAAAGGAGAATCAAAGGTGGTGGCTTGGTAGTCATCGCTGATTGTGTGAAGAGGAGCACCGGATTGGAGGAGGAACAACGGATTGAAGTGCCGGAGAGGATGACCCCATCCGTCGAAGAAGGAAGCGTGCGAAGAGATGAAGAAGAGCCTGCGTGCGGGTGGGAAGAGCTATCGATGAGATCTGATGGGCTGGGAAATATTTTAAAAGGTCAGATTTTTGTCCAATTGCAAAGTGGCTATATTTTAGTCTATGCAAACTCCCTAACTAATATTCTTTCCATTCTTTCAAAAATGAATGTCCCTCAAGTCTTTCATTGCAAACTGACTGAATAATAAACTGATAAAGTGACGAACTAGGGACTCGGAACTACAAGTAATGAGGATGTCATCAGCATATAGTAAGATATAAATAGTGCGTGACTGAGAGTGGTATGTAAACATAGAAGAATCAGACTGACTTTGTGAAAATCCATGAGACAATAAAAAACCACTGAATCGATGAAACCAAACGCGTGGAGCTTGTTTCAGACCACAGAGAGCTTTCTTTAGCTTACAGATATGAGAAGGTTAGGATGGGTGAATAAAATCTGGGGGCTGACGCATGTAAACCTCTTCTTTACGACGACCATGAAGAAAGGCATTTTTAACGTCTAACTGAGGCACCACCCAACCTACGGAAATGGCAACATAAAGAACAAGACAAACCGTGGTGGGTTTAACCACGAGACTAAATGTCTCAGAAAGATCTATCCCAGCCTCTTGATTAAACCCTTGAGCTACCAAACGAGCCTTGTGGCGCTCAATATATCCATCAGAACGGTATTTTATTTTATAAATCCACTTACATCTAACCACATTTTTTTCGTATCACTAGGTACTAAATCCCACGTAGCATTAGCAATGAGAGCATTAAATTCTTCTGCCCTGGCTGCCCGCCAAACTAAACTTTTATTTGCTTGAGAAAAACATGTTGGGTCATTAGGGAGAGCTAAAGTATTTAAATTAAAAATTGTTTTTGGTTTAAAAATGCCATCTTTAGCTCTCGTGCGCATGGGATGGATGTTGGGAGCCATATGGGGAGATGAGGGTATCGGTGGGGGGCTGCTGGGTGTATGGTGAAGGGAGGTGTGTTCGGTGGAGCTACTGGTTGGTGAGAATAGGTGTGCACGTTGGCGGGCTGGGGCTGGGTGGCGGATTGCTGCTGGCCGAAGAGACAACAGTGGCCGGAGTGGATATAGGCAGGTCGGGGGAGGACGCAGGTTGAGATATGGGTAGAGCGGGTTGAGAATAAATGGTCCAAGTGGGAGGATGTCGGGTGGGGACGGGGCAGCAGTAGGTTGGCTAAGGATGGTATAGGTAAAAGAGGTTTCATGAAATACTACATCTCTGCTTACATAGACACGGCCTGTTCAGGGATCAAGGCAACGATAGGCTTTATAGCCCAATGCATAGCCCAAAAACACACACATAATGGACTGTGGGGGTAATTTATTTGAAGAAGATGCAATAAAATTTGGAAAACATGAACACCCAAAAATATGAAGAAAATTATATTCAGGCGGTTTTTGAAAAAGTATCTCGAACGGAGACAGACCACACAAATTTGGTAAAAGTAAGCGATTGATAATAAAAGTAGCCGTGTAAAGGGCATCAACCCAAAAGGTAGGGGGTAATGCAGCCTCTATGAGCATAGTACGAGAGAGTTCCAGAAGGTGTCTATGCTTACGCTCAGCCACACCATTTTGCGTAGGCGTATTCAGACAAGATTTGCGAAATAAGATGCCACATTTGAGAAAATGATTTTGAAATAAAGAATTGATAAATTCACCACCACCATCACTTTGAAAACATTTAATTTTACAATTAAAAAGATTTTCTATTAAATTTTGAAAATTGCAAAAAAGAGTAAACACTTCAGACTTTTTATGCATAGGATAGACCCAAGTATATCTAGAAAAAGCATCAATAAAAGATACATAATATTTAAATCCTAAATTGGATAACACCAGCGACTGCCAAACATCTAAATGAATAATTTGTAATGGAGAAGTAACATCAGAAAAAGGAAGGCGGTGGGACTTGCCCAGTTTACAAGAAACACAAACATGAGAAAAAGTACTAGTGCTAGTAATGAATTTATTTTTCCTAAGAACTAAAAGAACACGATCCCCACAATGACCAAGACGCTTGTGCCAGACTGGACCAAAGACAAGCTTGGTCTGTAAAGCTAGAGACGGAGTAGTCAACTGGGCTGCGCTAAAGGGATAAACAGAGTCTTTATTGGAGGCCTGGAGGAGTATGGTTCCCGTGTGATTATCCTTGACAAAAAAGTATTTTTTATTAAAAATAACAGAACAATCATTATCCGCACACAAACGTTGAATAGATAATAAATTATGATTAAGGTGCGGAACATGATAGACCGATTTTAATAAAAGCGAGCGACTAGCAGTAGATAAACTAGCATTACCAATGTGTGAAACAGGGAG